GAATCTACTAAAGCACAAGTGAGTAACAGGGGGAAATGAAATAGAAAGCATTCAAAGAGAGGGAGAAGAACTTGGCTTTTGCATTTCCTTATTAAGACAGTCTTCAAGGGCAAACAGAACAGTGGAGTGAAAGCCACTGGAGCCCTCTGATGTTCCTCTCATTAGTGATGGCTTCCCTCTCCTATCACCACCACAGCCCTTTTTTAGAAGCAGATCTCTCCTCAGTCATTTACACCGTGGTGTGAATTTGAGAATCAACAAGATCCTGAGATCTGTAAGTCCAGTCTTTCCCAAAGCCTGCCGTATACCAAAGTTCATGTCTTACCCCAGGCTAACCAAATCGGAATCTCTGGAGGTGGGGCCCAGGAATTGAGATTTTAAAAATTCTCTCAAACAATTCTGACATAGCAAGGTACGGATCAGAGTTAGCAACCACTTAGGAACTACAACCCCCTCGTGTGACAAATAAGCAAAAAGAAGGCCAATGAAGGGGAATAAGTTGCCAAAAGTAACAGTGAGTTGGTGCTGGGCCCAGTCGGAAAGCCATGCCTCCTGATTCTGAGTCCACCACACCAATTTGTTAACCTCACCCAAGGCTATGTACATTTGAAGCCCCGTCTCTAACCAGACAGGCCCTTCCCCACCATCTGTAACCAATTACCTCTGCAGGCCAATGAGCTTCCACTTCTGAAAATCCATAATGTGCAAAGGGGAGGAGACCCAGTGCTTCACGGGTTTGGCACAGCGACTGTAGTTGGGGACGAAGATGGACAATGCTGTCACAAGCTTCCTGACTATGGCCTCGTCCTCCCCCAGAACCACGAGTGTCCTCCCGCTGAGCAGGGAATAGATGGCTGGGTGGGCAAAAGGGTACTGGCGGATGAATTTTAAGGCATTCTGGCCAGCCCTCTTTTTATGCCTCTCGGAAGAGGGGCCGGCAGGATAAGCAGAAGAGGGAGTCCTGTCTGAGCTGGTGGAGGCTACACTGCTCACAAAGCTGGTGGTGTCTGAGTAGTTGTCCAGACTGGTCCTACTGACGTCCCGGCTAGCCAGCAGGTGCCTAGGGTCCAGCTCATAAACAGGGAAGCCTTCAGAAACGTTGTCTCGGGAAGAAGGGTTGACGTTTTCTACTGCAAAATCCACATGGAACTCCTGGTCCTTCTGCTTGTAGCGCTGAGGGGGTATGCTCACTACCCCATCTTCGTCAGAGTGTGTGTGGATTGGACTGGAGAGCGGCACCCGCAGACTGTCACTCTCCTTACCAATGCAGCAGGAGTCTGTCTGTGATAAGGTGTTTTCTAAACTGCCCTCTTCTGCTTCACCTAGCTCTGGTGGGCTGATGCTTGCTTGAAAGTGGATGGCTCCCTCACTATCATCTGCATATGATTCTTCTTCATTAATGGCACTTGGGTAGCTGGCCTTAAAGTCATCAGGGATGAGTGCCTCAGAGGGGCAGGTGCTGAGGACTTCAATACTGTCCTCACTGATGGTCCTGTGGCTGACCGCTTTGCTCCGGACCACCTGGGGGCTCAAAGACACCGTGAGGCTGGCCTGGCTATCAGACTTAGACAGCAAAGAGGTGGACTTTTCTGTGCCTAGAACCTCAATGCTTTCACCACTGCTGATACTCCCTTTCATATCCATATCCAGGTAGTCCAAGTTTTCCTGGGGCTCAAAACTGCTCAATTCTGTCACCTCCACTTCCTTATACTCCTCATCTCCAAGTTCCTGATCCATCTTGATCAGCACAGACTCCACACTGGACTTGTAAGAGCCAACGCTAATTAACACTTGAGGAATCGGACATTCTTCTAGAGACCTGGAAGGTGGCCTGTGTTGACTGGGCTTAGGACGTACACTTTCTTGTTTTTCTACCACCCTATCATCAACCTCCACAAAGTCTTCAAAGAGAAAGTTCGTTATGTGCTGTTGCTTCAGTAGTGCTCTGTCAATCTGGCTGGTAAGGAGATAGCACAGGTCCCCTCTGAACATGTGCTCAATGTGGCTGAGCTGAGCCAGGGTCTGGGTGAAATACTCAGTGTCACAGAGCTCTTCCAAGGTCTTCAACTTCTTGTCAAAACACTTGGTGGACTTTGCTTTGATGAGTTTTGGGGTGTAGGTGGGTCTGCAGGTGTAAAGGTCTGTGTTGGTATACTCATCAGGGTTAGAGGTAGTGGCTGCCTGGTCAGGCTGATCCTGGGTGTGCTCCATCTCCCCAGAACACAAATCGAACCCCTTCAACTTCCGATGAGGGTATGAGCGGATCTGCTTCAGCAGGTCTTGGTGTTCAATGATGGATTTCTCTACACTAGCCAGTTCATTGGCTTTCTCAATTGCCTGAGATGAGTAAAAGCCTTTGTCATTGGCTTTCTTCTGGATCTCTGTTTCAGTGTGCAGCACTGTCCTGGTGTAATCCAAGTCTTTCAGTTTTTTTTCAAGTTCTCCAGCAAAGGCCTTCCTGTTGCCTGTCTTCAAGCACTCAGAAGCTTTGGAAAACTCAGCTGAAAGCTCCTGGAACTGCTGCATAATTTTGTGCTGGTCGGCGGAGATATAAGCCATGCAAAATGGCCTCACGAAGCCACGGGCCTCCAGGTCGTACAGGGTAAGGTGGTGCACATATGCAAAGGCTCCCTCTTTGGAATCTCCCAGCACCACCTTGGAGTCCTCCACGAAGTTCAGCTTGGGGTAAGCAGAGCCAGGGGGATGGCCCACAAAGGAAGCCTGGTAATCCACAGACATGATCCGCAAGGAGAAGTAATTGAGATCAAAAGTACCGAAAACTTTGGTGTCATTGGGGATAGTCAGCAAGGGCTGGGGTCCCACTTGCTCTGAGAACTCGGAAATAAGGATGAAGTCCCGAGAGAACTTGGCTCCGGACAGTTTGGACCACGGGTTAGCTCCTTGGCTTGCGAAGGGGAAGAGTGGCACCGAGTACTCCTCCGGCAGAGCCGGCTCATTGTAAGGCTCCTCCTCGTACTCGTCCTCTTTGGTGAAGGCCACCACGTCAGGGGCGCTGATCATATTTACAGATATATGGAGAGAACATTTGAGAAGAAATGGCAAAGAATGGTGGGGTAATCAAGGAGGGGAAGCCAAGCCTCGGGAAGAGAAAGCAAATTCCTTGCAGTCTTCTTTGCGCTCTCAGGGATAGAAGGCTGCCACTCACAATCCAGAGAACTCGAACTCCTGCAGCCCCTCAAAGGTGTAGCTCTGCCAAGATCCTCGGAGGCCTCATGAACTCCGCAGGTCCAGAAGATCGGGGAGGCCCTATGCCCTCCTCCTTCTCCTTCGGCGAGCGCTGCCAACGCAGAAGACTGCAGCGAGGTCACCAGGACTCCCCTGAACCCACCGTGACAGCAACAGCCCCGGTCCTGAACGGATGCCTAACACCAGGCTACGGGCCGCTGCAGGGATCAGCCAAGCATTGCCGTCCCTACGACCCGAGGGCGGAAACCGTCGCGACTCCTTGGACGCCACAAACCGGGGGCAGCTACGGCAGCGCCGCCATCTTGGCATCACATGACTCGCAGTGTCGGCGCCGCGTGACGCGAAAGCGTCTGCGTTGACTTCCCAGCAGGAAAGAACAGGATTGTGAATAGGAAGAGGTTTGGGCGGGACTGTCGAGAAGCCTCTCCCAAGGACGAATCGAATAACCAACCCACAGTCGGGAAGGAAAGGAAGTGAGGCCGCGGAGCGGAAACGTGCTGGGCGAGGGATCTGCGTACGCGAGGCAGTGTGGGAGTTGTAGTTCGCGGTCCCGTGGACTCGCTCCTGGCGGAACGTGAGGCGGCTGTGGCGGGACACCCAAGTGCGGGATTCTGTGCAGACGCTGCGGCGGTGAGCAGGAGACCCTGCTGTTGCGGTTCCGAAGCCTGGCGGGCTGGTGGGACGAGACGGGAAGGCGGGCGGCGTCTCCGGCAGCTCCTGGAAGCTCTGGTTCTCTTGGGGTGACCGTCGGGTGGCCCTCACCTCTGGCTTCCCCAGCATGCGCGGGCAGCCAGGTAGCGGCTGCGGGCGTGGGGCCTAGGGATGATCTTACCGGTCTCTCGCTGCGTGCTCCGGTGGCTGCATCGTCCCGGAGGCCGGACCTTTTCCTCCTCCGCCATGGAGGTGGCCTTCCGAGGCGTGCGGAAAGTCCTCTGTGTGGCCGAGAAAAACGACGCGGCCAAGGGAATCGCCGATCTGCTGTCCAACGGTCGCATGAGGCGGGTAAGGAGACGCATTTCCGATCAGCTCTGCTTGATGAGGGAGGCCCACCGAGCGGGACAGCGTTGTGTGCGCCGGAAATACTGATGAAAACGACTTCTCCCGCTTCTGGGTCTTTACTGTCTCTCCCGTACCATTGCAGTGGCTTCCTGCTTTTTCTTCGGACTGATGAGCATTTTAAAATGTAGTTAAGACAATTCACTCATTTACTTGAAAACTTTGGATCCTCAATGACCGCAGGAACGGTTGCCTAACTTGTCTTAATTTTTGGAACCACCTGGGGCACTGGCTATTCTGTGGTCCTGGGGTGAGACTGAGGAAATATGTATTTTAACATTTTTCCATCATGTTTGCAAAACTTGGTTAAGTTGGGAACCACTGACCAAACTCCCTTAACTTGACATTCAAGTCGTAACATCATTCCCAGCTAACTTAGCCTCCCTGTCTTCTGCCACACTCCATGTGTTCTGCAGCCCCACTGACTTTACAGTCTGTAAGGGCATACTGACAGATCAACGCTGTGTAAGGTTTGGGGATTAGAGGCGATGTCAGCCCTTCTTTTAACTCCTACAAACCAATTCGGAGAGACAGGCAAGTAAGAGATATGATGTATTCTAGACACACCAGGCGTGGAAAGGGGAAGGTGAGGAAAGGTTTCAGACATGAGGTGACAACGGAGGCTTTAAGAGCTGTTCGGGAAAATCTCTCAAAGAACAAAAGTGGATCCTGAAGTGGTTTTTTGAAGAACATTTCCAAGAGCATGGGGTGGAAGTTCCTGCTCAACTTCCAGGATCCTTAGACCTCTGTTTCCAGAATGTAACTAGTGGGAGCAGGAGCCAAGATTGTGTGGTTGCTAGCTAAGAGTTTCACTTCTTTCCAGTGCAGAGTCCTGGTGACCAGCCCCAAGGTTTGCCTACGTCTAGCGCTCTGGGCTTCTTTATAATGGCCCATCTACACCTAACTAACTTAGTTCTGTATCCTTCAGGGCTCTGTTTAAATGTCTCTTCTGCAAGGAACCTTTTCCTCACATTCTTGCCCTAACTGGGTCAGGAATACTTTATGATATGCTGCCATGGTACCCTATTCTATTGAGAAGGCACCTACCAATTACAGTTAAATAATGACTGTGCAGTTATTCATTTGACGTCCCTCACCACCAATCCTTGAACTCGAAGCTCCAAAGGAAAGGGACTATGTCTTTTGTTTATTGTGGTATTCCTAGTGCCTAATATAATGTTTGGAATATAGGGGACTTTCACTAAATGTTTGTTGGAGGAATGAATGATCTGAGTCTTGAAAGTTTTACCAGGAAGTGGAAACAGTATATATGAAGAACAAGCCAGTGGCTTGAAACGGCTTGGCATGTTCAAAAACTGAGAAGTTAGGAATGTGAGAAGATGGGAAGAGGAAACAGTGAGTTAAGCAAAAGAGACAGTTGAAGGCAGATCATAAGGGTATTAGAGAGCCATTTATTTTATGCACAGGTGTTAAAAGTACACATAAAATTTGCCATTTAAACTATTTTGAAGTATACAATTTAGTAGCATTTAGTATATTTACATTGTTGTGCAACCACTACCTCTGTCTAGTTTCAGATCTTTATCACACCAAAAGGAAACCCCATAGCCATTAACCAAATACTCCCTCTTTCTCACTTCTGCCTGCCCCTGGCAACCACTAATCTGCTTTTCTGTCCCCAAGAATTTACTTATTCTGCATATTTCATATAAAAAGAATCATATAATACATGGTCTTTTGTGTCAGGCTTTTATGTAACATGATATTTTTGAAATCCATCCATGGCGTAGCATGTATTAGTGCTTTATTCCTTTTTATGGATGAACAACATCCCATTGTATAGATCACATTTTATTTATTCATTCATTAGTTGGTAAACATTCGAGTTGGTTCCACCTTTGGCTATTGTGAATAGAGCTGCTATAAACATTCATGTACAGGTTTTTGTATGAATACCTGTTTTCAGTTCTTTGGGGTAAATTCCTAGAAGTGTAATTGCTGGGTCGTAAGTTAACTCTTATGTTCTACTTTTTGAAGAACTGCCAAACTGTTTTCCACAGTGGCTGAAACATTTTACATCCTCACCAGCAATGTTTCCAATTTCTCTACATCCTTACCAACTCTTGTTATTTTTTCATATTTTTGATTATCATCATCCTAGTGGGTGTGAAATATCTTGTTTTGATTTTTTTTCCCCAAATTACTAATGATGCTGAGCTTATTCATGTTCTTATTGGCCAGTGTGTATCTTCTTTGGAGAAATGTCTCTGGGTCTTTTGCTCGTTTTCGAATTGAGTCGTTTGTCTTTTTGTTGTTGAATTGTAAGAGTTCAGGATACTAGATCCTTGTTAGATATATGATTTGCAAATATTTTATCCCATTCCATGGGTTGTCTTTTCACTTTCTTGATGATGTTCTTTGATGCATAAAAGGTTTTCATTTTGATGAAGTCCAGTTTATCTTTTATTCTTTTGTGGATTATGCTTTTATTGTCATATCTAAGAAATCACTGCCAAATCCAAGGTCATGAAGATTTGCTCCTATGTTTTCTTCTAAGAGTTTTAGCTCTTATGTATAGGTCATTGATCCATTTTGAATTAATTTTTCTACAGAGTGTAAAGTAAGACTCCAACTTCATTCTTTTACATGTGGATATCCAGTTTTTCCCAGCATCATTTGTTGAAAAGGCTGTCCTTTTCCCCTTGGATGGTCTCAGCACCCTTGTCAAAAATCAGTTGACTGTAGATGTTTGGGTTTATTTCTGAACTCTCAATTCTATTCCATTGTTCTGTATATTTGTTCCTATGCCAGTACCACACAGTTTTGATTATCATAGCTTGGTAAGAAGTTTTGAAATTGGGCAGTGTGAGTCTTCCAACTTTGTTCTTCTCTTTCAAGATTATCTTCGCTATTTGGGGCCTCTTGCAAGTCTATATGAATTTTACTGTCACCTTTTCCATTTCTTCAAAAAAGACTATTGGGATTTTCATAAGGATTGCATTGAATCTGTAGATCACTTTGGGAAGTATTACCATCTTAATATTGTCTTCCCATCTGAACATGGGTCATCTTTCCATTTTTTTAGGTCTTTAATTTCTTTCAGCAATGTGTTTTCATTGTGCTTTTGGATGCTGTTATAAATGGAATTGTTTTCTTAATTGTTTTCAGATTGTTCATTACTACCGGTTTTTGTGTGTTGATCTTATATAATATGTACTGTAACTTTGCTGTATTTGTTTATTAGTACTAATTGTTTATGACTTCTTTAGGATTTCTATCTATAAGATCATGTTGTCTGTGACTAGAGATAGTCCTACTTCTTCCTTTCTGATTTGGATGTTTTTCCTTCTTTTTCTTGCCTAATTGCTCTGGCTGGAATCTAATAATCTTGGATAGCAGTGATGAAAATGAATATCCTTGTCTTGTTCCTGATCTTAAAGCTTTCAGTTTTCTACCATTGAGTATGATGTTAGCTGTGGGGTTTTTGTAAATGCCTTTTATCAAAAAGGGTGTTGAATTTTTATTAAATACTTTTTCTGCATCAATTGAATTGAGCAATGTAGATTTTAAGTGCAGGAGTACTGGGGTCCTATTTGTGTTTTATAAAATCTCTCTTGCAGCAGAAAATTTGAAGAGTGAAGAGCTAGAGTCAAGGAGGCATCTGTTGGAGTTCCCTGTGTGAGAGATCAGAGACCTGAACTCTAGAGACCCTTGGAACAGTTTGAGTAGGAGCAGAGGAAATGGGAAGGAAGAGAATGATAGAAACCATCAGAGTTTAAAAGATTAAAGTTCACCATGCTTTACAAACGTTGGTCCTTCTTGGAATGATAATTTTCTTCTTTTCTCCTGATGAGCTTTTCCTCTTTTAAAAGAGAAACAAAAAACAACCTAACTGTAACCTCTTTTGTAAAGTCTTTCCTAAGTGTCCTCTCCATCCAATTCATGCTGTTTCCAGATGATTTTCATCTCTCTTGATAATAACAGTCCTCATGGATCAAGTTATCTAGTTGTTTTGTTCATCTCTCCCATGATGTGTCACATCCCTAAGAATAGTGACAGATCCTATTCATTCATTTATCCCTCAGAGCCTGCTACATGAAAGTCCCATGGTAAATGTGCATATAGATTCTGATGGAGGTGCTAAGGCATGCAGACACACACCTCAGAATTAAACAATGGTCTTTGCAGCTTTATGATAGCAAAGGAGTTGAAATAACAAGAATTAGTAATGGAAATAGAATAGTTAAATTTTATGTTCTTATGATAGATTATTAGACATCTATTATGGAAAAGACTTTTAAATGTATGATATAAACATATATGAAAGAAATTCGAGAACTTTTCTATGTACACAATTTTTACATGGTTTTATTTTTATATTCAGAAGGAGAAATCTTAAAAAAGAATCCTGCTAAAGATTTAATGGCAACAATGTGATCAATTTCTATTGCATGCATAAAGAAAATGGGACTTAGGGTTTTTTGGTTTTTTTTTAATAGAATGGATAGCACTGCAAAAGAGATCACAGAAGCTACATTCTTGGTCTGTATACTAGGCTTTTTTCTTTCTCTAGGCTCCAAAATGCCGCTGTAATTTGGAAACAGCCCAAAACACCTGAGCACCTCACCCAAGAGTGGAAATCACAGTTGTGCACTATCCTCAAATGGAAATTACAGGAAGGAAAGTTTGAAACATCAGGAAAAACTTTTTAAATCTTCATGACTATCCATTGATAGAGGAGGCTGCCAAGGAGAGCCCTGGACCTGAGGTTGCACACGTTATTAAACGAATCACTTACCTGGAGAGGATCAGAACGGTGGTTTTCAGATTGTGTTCCCAAGAGACCCAAGCGACAATGGATATGCATCTTGGGAGCCACTTGGGGCTGGACTGGGGAAAGATTGAGTTAGCAGGACACAGCCTTATTTCAGCAGGGTACCTCAGCCTTGTTACGTGTCAGGGTCCATATAAGATTTTGTTTGGGAATGCCTCAATGCTTTCTTAAGAAGTAGGGAAAAAAAAGAGAAACCATTGATTAGACAATTTCTGTTCTCTATTACAGTAGTCTCCTCTTTTTGGAGGTTTTACTTTTCGTGGTCTCAGTTACCTGTGGTCAGCCGCAGTCTGAAAATATTAAATGGAAAATTCCAGAAATAAACAATTCATACGGTTTAAATTGCATGCCTTTCTGAGTAGTATGATGAAATTTCGCAATGTCCCCCTCTATCCCACCTGGGACGTGAATCATCCCTTTATCCAGCATATCCACGCTGTGTAGGCTACCCACCCTTAGTAACCATCTCACTTATCAGATAGACTGTTGTGGTATCACAGTGCTTGTGTTCAAGTAACCCTTATTTGCTTAATAATGACCCCCAAAGTGCAGTAGTAGTGATGCTGGCAGTTTAGGTATGCCAGAGAAGCCATAAAGTACTTCTTTTAAATGAAAAGGTACGTATGCATAGAAAACAGTATGTATAGAGTTCAGTCTTATCAGAGGTTTCAGGGATCCACTGGGGGTCTTGGAATGTATTCTCCAGGATAAGGGGGGACTACTGTACTAAAAGAGCTTATCTAGTCATTGGAGTTTATGGAGGGGGGTTTTCTTGGCAACATCAGAGCAGTGAACTCTATCAGATACTAAAATGAATTCCCTCTTTAAATTTGCCATTATCCCTCAAAGAACCACGTTCATTGTTCCACACAGAAAAATGGTATTTGTGATCTTTCTTGGCCCCAGTGTTTCCCCAGTTACCAGTTTGCCTTTCTCTTGTCTTCTGCACAATGTTGGTGTGAAACTCAAATTCATAACTACAGTTGCCCCTTGAACAACATGGTTTGAACTGCAGGGGTCCACACATGGGTGGATTTTTTTCAGTAAATATATACAGTACTATAAATATATTTTCCTTACAATTTTCTTAATTTTTCTCTAGTTTATATATATTACATGAAATATAGTATATAATACATGTAACATACAAAATACGTGTTAATCGACTGTTGTCAATAAGGCTTCTGGTCAACAGTAGTATGCTACTAGTAGTTAAGTTTGGGGGGAGTCAAAAGTTATACGCAGATTTTTTACTGCTTGGGGGTTCAATTCCCCAACCCTTGCATTGTTCAGAGCTCAACTGTACTTTTAACCCCTTTGTGAAGAAGGTGGGATCTACTTAAGGTTTTATTCATCTATAAGTGCAGCTGAAGAAGCGCTGTGTAGACTGGATTCCAGTCATAAGGGACCTTAAAGATAACTTTATTCAAGAATAAATTGAGGTTCAGAAAAGTGAGTGACTTGTCCATGGTCACCAGTTTATTGGTACAGTCGTACAACCAGGAAGTGGTAGAAATGTGTGAGGAGGAAGGAGAAAATCAAGAAAGTTATGCCCTAATCCTGTCTCTGCTATTAATTTGTCATGCAACCTCAGACAAGTCTTTTTCTCATCTATAAAAAATGTTGTATTAGCTGATCTCAGGGTTACCTTCCAGCACAAAAACTCCATGGACACGGTCAATATATGCTTATAACTGTTTTGAGGGACCACTTAATAAATGTTATTAGTAATTTAGCCTATTTTTTATAGGAAATACTGTTGCATTTTTAATATTCCCACTTAGCAGTGTTTTGCTTGATCTTTATGCTAAGGAATCTTTTTTATGTAATTTATGTTTTTTTTATTTTTGTTTTGTTTTATAGAGGGAAGGACTTTCTAAATTCAATAAGATCTATGAATTTGATTATCATCTATATGGCCAGGTAGGTGCTACAGTATTTGCATTATACAACTGAAGTGTGCTTTCAGATCCATATGCCATTTTGGTGTATATTTCTTGGGTTTTTTTGTTATGGCTAAAAAGAGCAGCTGTTTACTACAAGTACTCCCTAAATTGCTTATATTTTAGAATTATTTAATAAAGAAGAATTAGCTTGACCATTTTAGACTGTCACTGTATTTTAAGGATAACTGTTGTGACCTGGTCACAGGCAATCATTTTATAATTTATGAGGAAGTCCCTTTTTAGTGAATTATGGTCGCATCTTTATAACAAGAAAGAAGCTAATGTACTATAGTTTGAGGAAATTTTTAAATGCTACAAAAGACATCATGGTACTGGCATTAGAATGGTGATTGTATTACTATGACTTTAGGCTTCAAAGAGCTGTGTTTATGTTTGTTTCTTTCCAATCAACTGGTTTTTGTTTTGTTTTGTTTTTTTTATAACTTTTTTTAGAGTAATTTTAAGTTCATAGGAAAATTGAAGGGAAGTTTTGGCTTTCTCATCTGAAAGACAGTCCAGTATGACAGTTCCAAGCTCTACGTGAGGACTAAATGAGCTAACAAGTGGCGTAGCTCCTATAGCTCAGGGCTTGTTACATGTTAGGTCCAAGTAGATTGCCAGCTCCTTCAGAGCAGGGATTTTATATTTTATTTTTTTAAATTACTTATTGACTATTTACAAAAGAATGTATATACCTTGTGTAAAGTATGAAGGGTAATCCTAGAATGTTCCATTTGTTTTGTTGCTTTTACTTTTTTTCTTTTTTTAAAATTAAGTTTATTGGGGTAACAATTTCCACATACCCTCTGCCCCCACACATTCACAGCTTCTCCCCTTGGCAACATCCTTCACCACATTAGTACATTTGTTATAATTGATGAACCTATCTTAACACATAATCACCTAGAGTCTATAGTTTAGAGTTCACTCCATGTTGTATTTTCTATGAGTTTGGACAAATGTATATATAAATATATATCCATCATTTTAATATCATACAGAGTATTTCCACTACCTTAAAAATTCTCTGCGCTCCACCTATTCATTCTTCCCCCCTCCCCTGCAACCACTTTTTTTTTCTTTAATAGAAGTTTCTCCTTTTTATTTGAATGATGTGGTAAGATGTAATTGCTAAAAGACTAACTCGAATTTTGTTATTCAGAATGTTACCATGATAATGACTTCAGTTACTGGACATTTGCTGGCTCATGATTTCCAGATGCAGTTTCGTAAATGGTCAGTACTGTTTCTGGGGGAGGGATTTTCAGATTATTACAATAAATTATAAAATATTACAGGAATTTTGAGGCATGTCGGTCTTACTATATAACTTATAATACTAAGATGACTGCCTGAGTCAGTTTAAGCTGCTATGATAAAATACCACAGACTGGTTGTTTTGTAAAAACAAATTTATTTCTCCCAGTTCTGGAGGCTGGATATAGGAGATCAGCATGTCAGTGTGGTTGGGTGAGGGCCTTCTTCCGGTTGCAGACTATTGACCTCTCACTGCATCCTCACCTGGTAGAAGGTCTACAGAGCTTTATGGGGTCTCTTTTATAAGTACACTAATCTCATTTGTGAGGTTCTATCCATGACCTAATCACCTCCCACAGGCCCCACCTTCTAACACCATCACTTTGGTGTTAAGATTCTAACGTGTGAATTCTGGGGGGACACAGCCATAGTGACCATAGCAGTGACTTAGGATTAATTGATTCATTGTGAATTTTTACCATATGTTTAGAATAAACAGCCACTTTTAGTTATGGCCAGAACGTTTTCGTGTAGTCATTGGATTGTGTTTATCCTATTGCAGACATGTATGAGAGAGTTCTAGAACTTCTTAGCAGCTTCTGTTAATCATCATGGGAAGTGAAAAGTGCGTCGTGCAGAGGATCAGAGCCCTGCTTTTAATCCTCTGGCATTTTCTGTTGTGGATCCATCCATGAATAATCTGGACCGACTGTGAAATTTTTCTCATTAAAGTGGAGGACTTGTGCTGAGGTGGGATTTTTTGTGTTTTCATTTCTTTTCTAGGCAAAGCTGCAATCCCCTTGTCCTCTTTGAAGCAGAAATTGAAAAGTACTGCCCAGAGAACTTTGTTGACATCAAGGTAGGATCTTTTAAAAGGCATATGACCCTGGAATTGAACAATCACAAAATAATTGAACTGAGTAATTTCTGTATTTTGAATGCATTAGAATTTAGAGATAAGATTTTCTACCAAACTAATCATCGTGATTTAAAAATTTTTTCCCATCCATTGTATAAATGAGGCCATTTAAACTATGTGGCCAAGGGACTGAATAAGCGTTTTTAGGAATAGTAGTTGTTTAAATTCTGAGAATTAATTCTGGTTCCCACCTCTCTCCTAGTTACAATGAAGAGACTACAAAGTACACATGGTCATTTGACAATAAATTGTGAGTTCTCAAGCAGTCAGGGCACCTATAGTTAGTTCACTGCTAATTGGGAAACTTTTGGATGAAACTCAATTAGGAGTTCATTTTTTTTTTAATCAGAATCACTAGAGTCATATGTTAGAGCTGAGTTTTAGGTCTCTTCATGCTTATGCAGTTGTATTAAACCCTCAGTCTTCTAGAAACTCTTTAATGGGTCTGTCATTCTAAGCTGGAGGATTATACTAGTTTTCTTCACCATCCTTAGAACCGATAGGGATGGTTTTCTCTGGTCTCTTTCTCACCAAGTTGGCTTATTCTAAGAACATTGTTAGTGTTACCGTCAGATCTGTTTAATGTAGAGGTGTAAATTAATTGCTCTGTGGGTTATGCTCTCACTGCTTTCCCCACTGGGAACTTCAGAAAACTCTGGAACGAGAGACTCAGCAGTGCCAGGCCCTGGTAATCTGGACCGACTGTGACAGAGAAGGTGAAAATATCGGGTTTGAGATTATCCATGTATGCAAGGCTGGTAAGCAATGCTGCTTCTGAGTTTCTGTACTTCGGTACCACATAAATAGATGATATGTGTGCATGTGTGTGTGAGTGGCTTTGCCTGAGTTCCTCCCCATTTACTCTTCCTTCTGAATCTACATAACAGTCTGACTGGCTGAATGTCTTGGAGCAAGTCACTGAACCCTTGGGAGCTTTGGCTTCCTCATCTGAAAAGTAAAGCCAGTCTGACAGTTCCAAAGGCTGTGTGAGGGCGTAGATCCTGTAGCTCAGGGCTTATTATATGTTATGTCCAAGTAGATTGCCATCTCCTTCAAAGCAAGGACTTTGTATTTTTTTTTAATCGTATATTGAATATTTACAAAAGAATGTATATACCCTATGTAAAGTATGAAGGATAATTCTAGAATGTTGAATTTGTTTTGTTTTTTGTTTTTACTTTTTCTTTAAATTTGTTGGGATAACATTGGTAATAACATTATTTGTTATCAGTAATTTTCAGGTGTGCAAGATTCTATTTGTTTATCTCTTATATTCTTTGTACAGTGCCTAAACATTAATAATTGTCGAAGTGAACTTAAACAACTCTTAACAGGGTTAATGATTTCAGATAACTTAGAGGAAGTGATGTGCAGGCCTTTAAACAGTGTGTGTGCGTGTGGGGGTGCTGTTTTCCCTAAGTGTTTTTGTGTTTGAAGCTATAATTCCTGGGACTTAAATACATTAATTTTCAGGACAGTGTATATGTCCTATGTTGTTTTCATGACAGGACAGGAAATTTCTTCATAAGACCTTTTAATTCTTTTCCCTAAAAGTCTAAGAAAGCAAGTGAAATTAAAGTCTGAAAATGCTCACCGATAGAGTTTTAGTTAATAGCTAAATTTGCTCTGCCGTTATTTCTGACAACACTTGAGTTTGGCGGTTATAGTGAAGTTTCCCACTTAGCATGTTATTTAACCTAATCATTAAAGTGGACACCTTATAGCTTCTTGAACTGGTTTACTTTTTGTTCAAGGTAGTTAAAGATGAGAGGGGAGTGTGACTTAATTTTGACCTTGGTGACTCTGTTACACAGTAAAGCCCACTCTTCAGGTGTTGAGAGCACGTTTTTCTGAGATCACCCCCCGAGCTGTGAGGATGGCCTGTGAAAATCTGACCGAGCCTGATCAGAGAGTGAGTGATGCTGTGGACGTGAGGCAGGAGCTGGACCTCAGGATTGGTGAGGAGCTGCATGAACTCCTTTGATGGCCCACATGGCCATAGGGTATTGGGCATGTGTAAATATGTGCAGCTATTTCTTACCTTGCAGTCCATCATTTGCTTATTTCTTCTTTTCTTCCATCCTCACCTTCCAGGAGCTGCATTCACTAGGTTCCAGACCCTGAGGCTTCAGAAGATTTTTCCTGAGGTGTTGGCAGAGCAGCTGATCAGTTATGGCAGCTGTCAGTTCCCAACACTGGGGTTTGTGGTGGAGAGGTTTAAAGCCATTCAGTCTTTTGTGCCAGAAATCTTTCACAAAATTAAAGGTAGGGCTGCGGAAATTGATTATGATATGTAACCTAAGGGCCCAGGAATAACCAAGGGCACCATGGAACATCACTGGCTCTAATGAAACGTGTGATTATTTTTCAGTCTTGCTGCCCTTTACATCCTACCCCATTACAATATTCAGAATCCACAGTGATCTTCTCTATTTTATAATCCTTTGACTTTCACTGTAATACTTCTGTGGTTATCTATCATATCGTGTGGATCTCTGAGTCATGGACTTCCTGTTTGTATTTCCCCGACAGTAACTCACGACCACAGAGATGGCATTGTAGAATTTAATTGGAAAAGACATCGTCTCTTTAACCACACAGCTTGTCTTGTCCTTTATCAGCTGTGCATGGAGGTAAGTAATATTTTTAAATCTTAATGACCTAGGAAAACTGTAATTTTCCAAGCCACTCTATCTCTGTTGGCAGAGGCGATTCTGTCCCATTTTCCCACTGAACTGTAGCTTTCAGTTTGTATCTCAGGACATTACTTTTTGGGGACTAGTTAAGAGTAGAACCCCATAAAAACAGCACTAAAGGAAAGGATCTATGGAACTTCTAGGTAAAAGCAGAAATTTAAAGAAGTGTATAGCTGAAATCCCTCCCTGAAGCAGTGTATTATCATCAGCAATTTATAAGGATCAGCTAGACAAGTCTAGTTCATAGCTTCCTAAAGCTAGAAGGAGTTTGGACAGCATCTGGTCTAACTCCTTTTGCCATTGACCAGGTGAAGTCTAGACAGAGAAAAGTTACAAATAACTGAACATGTTTATTTTATACAACATTACATGACTGGAAGTAAAACTAGGGTAAATGAACAGAGAATGGCCTAAGAGAGTCAGTAGAGGCCTCTTCCAGGCATGGTGGTCATGAAAGACATCTCAGAGCTGACATTTGAGTAAAGGCCAGAGTGATTAGTAGGAAGCAACTACAGGGGGACCTGGGAAACGCATGTGTCAGTGGAGAGAGAACAGCACATGCAAAGGACCATGACTAGTCAGTGGCCAAGTGTCATCCCTCAGACTGCTTGTCCACTTTGTGAGGCTGCTTCCTGTCAGTCAGCTTCTTTTAACCCAGAGGCTGCACACAGTGGAACCTAAATAAAACTCGGTGCTTTCTAGGTTTGATGAGTCAGTTGTGCTCCTGGCTGTAGCCCACTGGCAGGTTTAGTATTGATTTGCTAAGGTGGGATAATGACTATTGAGCACCTGCTACATGCCAGACACTATTTTTACATGTGATTTTCTTTAATCCTAATAGTGCCTATGTGGGTGGTGATGCTCTCCCAATTTTACAGATGAGGAAGCCAGAGAGAGTGAAGGAACTGTGTACAGACACAGTGGAGCTAATAAGGGACAGAGTAAGGACTAGGTCCCAGTGTGGCTGACTTCAGCTCCCACAGACCACGCTGCCTCCCAGGAGTAACCCTGTCTGTGTGCTACTTCACCCTTTGAACCTGAAGGCCACATAGCCACCTGACATGTCTATAACACTGCACATTTATCTGTTCAGTAAGAAAGACCTGCTCTTTTTTTTTTTCTTTACTTTACTAGGATGTGGCATCAAAAATATGGCAGGTGGGACACATTGAACTCCTTGTCAAGAATACCTGGTCCCAGTCTATTTGGAGAGAGAAATTTGGATTTTGATATATAAATATTCTCATTAATAAATCACTTAAGCTGAGTTGTTTGTACATTTGCAATCTTTTAAAGTATGAAATTGGTCTTAAGATTAAAGTTCTCCAGCTTATATAATTTCTATTTATAACTCTGTATTACAAGAATTTTTTTTAAAATGTAAGATAGGAAACTATGCTTAGAAGACACATAGACTCCAGAAAGGCATCTTAGGACTTATAAAATTGCCCCTCAAAGTCTTGGTTTGAGTGAGAAGGTGGTGATGGTGTCCACCACACTGTGGGCTACATTACGTGGTCCACTCTAACAGGCTGGAATAGGGGGTCTCTGCTGGTGGTGTGACCTGGAACGATGAGGAGGGGCTATCGCATGAAAGCTGGGGAAGATGCACCAGCAGGTTAAACTGGCCTCTGCTTTTCTTGGCTTTCTAGGATCCAACGGCGACTGTGGTTGAGGTCAGTTCTAAGGCAAAGAGCAAGTGGAGGCCTCAAGCTTTGGACACTGTGGTATGTTCTGGAGGGGTTGCACCAGCCCCTGACTTCCTATTTTTGGTACCAGGGTTCTATTGTAGACGTTGGCCTAGTGACAGGAAGCATCTCCCTTCACAGGGACACACAGGAAAGTGCTTGGGAAAAACAGAAACGCCAGGAACCCCAAAACATGGGCCTGCTTGGTCTCAGTGCTTTTTTTTTTAAGTTAATGAATGTGATAAAGCTGCTTAATGTGGGGTTTGGGAAACAAAAAGAGGAAAATAAATCACCCATCACCTTGACATCCTTATATAATCACCGATATAATCTTGGTGTCTTTTTTTTCCTATTTCATATGCTTATTTTTTACATTATTATCATTGAAATTGTTTTTTTGCATCCAAGCATTTTTTTGTTTCTTCATAATCTGTGTAAACATCATTTTACGTATCTACTTTATGAGCCTCCCCTAGAACAGGGCTTCTCAAATTTTTTGACCCCAAGAAGAGCCACCCCCATGGGACATGTCTGAGTAAAGAGGGGTGTCCCTTCCCAGTCATCTCTTTGCAGGAAAATTCAGGGTATAATTCTTGTCAGGGCTAACTCTAGAGGTTGAACATGCAGAATGTGTAGGTTCAGAAATATGCAGAGAGTGGTGGGCAGTGCAATCTTTACCTTGAGTGTGACATGTGTCCGTTCACACACGTGCGCACAGAGGGATGACAGGAAAATTAAAGATTCGTCTAGTAGGTATGGGTATTTTATTCTTTGCTGGTTAAGTATGTTTGACATGTAGACAACAGTATTGTCATCAAGGGGAAAAGACAGCTGGTTATCTCCTAGGAGGCCTGGAAGAATGATACTTGTCATCCAGGGGAATTTTTGGGGGCTCAGATGGTGTTCCTGAAGTGTGATTCTCAGACTGCCTGTGTTGGAATCGGTATATTAGATGCTTACTTAAAAGTACAGAAGATCTCGCCTGTGTCTGAAGCACTTTGTCTTCCATAGGGAGAGAAAGGGGATTCGGGAGCCTGCCCTTCTCTGTCAGAATCCCTAGTGCTCAGGGCCTGGCAGTCTGCTTGCTTCTGCACATCAGAGTCTGAGAACCACTGGACTAGGATCTGGCTCTGCCTGACAGGCCTAGAAATCTTTCTTCAGCATAGTCTTTCTCCCTCTGTGTTGACAACAGCTGGAGTGACTGGGGCCAGACAGTTCTGAAGATGTGTCATGTGGTTGTGTGATGCCCTCTCACACATTATATACCCTAATGTGCCTGTTGACACATTTAACAGGAGCTTGAGAAGCTGGCTTCTCGAAAGTTGAAAATAAATGCTAAGGAAACCATGAGGATTGCCGAAAAGCTCTACACTCAGGGGTAAATATTCCACATTTGGGAATGGAATTTGATGTATCTTTATCAGCATGAAATATTTTAGAAATAGAGCTTACGGGGAGACACAGACCGTCTAGATGTCACCTAAACTCTGAAGTAAAAGAATTTTGACACTGATTTCTCTCTTCTGATAATGGAAAAGGCATTTCAAAATCTTTCCTAAAACAAGCACCCATAGAGTAAACAAGACTCCTTAGCAGCTCCACCTGGGGCTCTGGCAGGTGACAGGCAGCACTTTTAGGAGTTGTTTGCCTGTTGTAAATAATCTTGCCTCAAGAGTCGTGAGCACCCCAGTGACAGTGTGATCCACACAGACCAGTGTGGCAGCCACATGCCACAATTGACTATTGTGTACTGGAAATCTGGATTGTCTGAATTAGAATGGGCTCTAAGTGTGAAATATGTACTAGGTTTTGAAGACTTACATGAGAAAAAGAATGCAAACAATCTCAATGTTTAAGTGGATAATAGAAAGTTTTAAATTATATATAGGGTCCACTTTATAGTTTACTGAGCAGCACTGTTGTTTCTTTAAGAAGCACACTGTTGCAGATGTCAGAGCCATGTTGCTCATCCTGGGCTCACTGTCAGACTGACGCTAGAGTGGGCCAGGGATGTGCCCCAGGACATACAGCTGCTGGCAAAGCTGAGCTATAGTAAGTTGCCCTATGCTGTGCTGCCCTTTTATTTATCCTTTGGCTTCTTTGTGTGTCCTAGCAAGACACACAAAGCTTCTCCCCTCTTTGCAGGGCACATCTCAGAACTTTTCTCAACATAGGTAACCAAGGTTGCCTTCAGTTGAGTTGGCTAGGTCAGACAGGTTATTGCAGGTGTCACCAGGTATATTCAATCTAATTCAGTTGTTTATAGAACAATTTCTTACTCTGTTTGTTTGCCTTTGTTTTAGGTACATCAGCTATCCAAGAACTGAAACAAATATTTTCCCCAGAGACTTAAACTTGACAGCACTAGTGGAGCAGCAGATCCCAGATCCACGCTGGGGGGCCTTTGCCCAGAGCATTCTAGAGCGCGGTGTCCCCACCCCCCGCAACGGGAACAAGTCTGACCAAGCTCACCCTCCCATCCACCCCACCAAATACACAAGCAGCTTACAGGTTGGTTTCCCTGACTCTCCTATCTGCTGGAACCCAGAGGGAGGTGAGGGGTCAGTAGTAGGATTTGAATTTACTCTGTGGGCTCTTGTAGGAACTAAGTGATTTTGAAATATCTCTTTCATTTCAGAAAAGAGATGTCAGTGTCAATCTTTCTCTCTGGCTTCTATGAAAGACCCTAATGGTGGGCTCTGCTCTCTACTTAGACCCATCCATTTCCCCACTCTCTGTCAGCTCCCTCTCCTGCTTCACTGATCCCGCCACACCCAAACTAGGCAGTTCACCTTCCTTGTTCCCTTACACAGCCCCCACACCTACATAGAACCACCTGGCCTTCTTGGTCTTTTGTCAGCTGGAAGAATCCTATTCATCCTGAGACTGGATCGGTTTCCATCACTTTCCCAAAACTTTCACATCACCCTCCTGTCATATACCAGTCATGGTAGGGCTCTCTCACACACCTGTGCTTGAGCATGTCCCACATCCCAGTCATTTTCTCAGCTGAGGAGTAAGCTCAGCGAGGCCCAAGCCAGTAAGGCTTGTTTGACATCTGCAGGCTTATTACAAATCTAAGTAATTGTGTTTTTTTTTTTTTTAATAGCACATTTTTTTTTCTGATAGTAAAAGTAGTACATGTTCATTTTAGACAATTTAGAAAATACACGACTGTAGGGAAGAAAAAAATTGCCTATGATCTCACCTCCTACTGAGAACCACCTTTTTCCTATGCATGTATTAATATTCTTACAATAAAATTTTAACTTGGATTTATAAACTATTTTTCCATTTTATATCATGAGTATTTCCCCATATGCTGAAATATTTTAAGTATGATATTTAATGATTGCATAGATGTACCATAATGTATTTTGCCAAATCTGTTTTTGAAGGATTAAGTTGTTTCTAACTTTTTCATACATGCTATATCAAAGTTAACACTCATATATATAAATATTAGTGTGGATCTCTTATTATTTCCTTGAAATACATTCTTAGAAGGAAAATTAGTGGATACGAGTATGGACATCTTATGAGCTTTTGATAGATTGAGCCTCACCAAATGCTTGATTACCGAAGTATTAGAAAATCACCATCAACCCTGTGTGCATGACGTTGGTCTGAGGCTACTGGATGCATCTTTACTGTATGTCTCTTATGCACAAGGGGCATCTTATGCTTTCATCCTATTTTCTGCTTAAGTTGGGTTTACGTCAAAAGAATCATTTCCCAGTCTTGAAGGCAAGATGACTCTTTTGCTTATCTTTGCCTAATTAGAGTTATAAAGTTTTATCAGCCTAACCCCATAAACTCACAGTAGATTTGCCTGGCACTCTGCGTTAGTGTAGGGGGCTACAGGAGTGCACAACTTTAGGCTGAAGGGTAGCCTAAACCAGGTTACACTACCAATGATGCTGAGATCCTTGAGTGGTAATATTCTGGAGGGATTTTCAGACTCTTTTCTTTTCTTCATAGGGAGAGGAACAGCGACTATATGAGTTTATTGTTCGCCATTTCCTAGCTTGCTGCTCTCAGGATGCTCAGGGGCAGGAGACCACTGTGGAGATTGACATTGCTCAGGAACGCTTTGTAGCCCATGGCCTCGTGATTCTGGCCCGAAACTATCTGGATGTGTACCCATATGATCGCTGGAGTGACAAGGTGATAAATCATAGGTCCAATAAGAGGGCAGAATCCATGTCTCACCCCATGGGCCTCAGAGGGGAAGACAATCATATTCCTGACTCTAGTGCCATTGTATGGGGCCAGGCATGTTCTCTGAACTAGGAGTTGTCTTTTGCCTAAGTGCCATGGCAGAGTGATTTGACAGATGCTTCTGCTGCTCTCTGTAGACCCTCCCTGTCTATGAGAGAGGCTCCCGCTTTCAACCCAGCACTGTGGAGATGGTGGACGGGGAGACCAGTCCACCTCAGCTGCTCACCGAAGCCGACCTCATTGCTCTCATGGAAAAGCATGGCATTGGTCAGTAGCTCATTGTTATGGTAATTAGTAGCTCTTGATCACAACTCTAATGTAGGTGTTATATTCTTGACCTCACTTTATAGCTGAAGTGACGCTTAGAGAAGTTAACAACTTGACCTAAAGTCACAAAGTATCTGAGTTATTAAAACCTAGATCAAAATAAAATAACTCTGCAGTCAGTGCTCTTCACTCCAGCTCTTCATCATCCATGTACAGGCATATCTCAGAGATACTGCTTGCTGGCTTGGTTCCAGGCCAATAAGAGTCTCATGAATTTTTTGGTTTTCCAATACATATAAAAGTTGTTTACACCAAACTGTAGTGTTTTAAGCGTATAATAGCATTATGTCTGAAAAACAGTGTACATACCTTAGTTAAAAAATACTTGCCTATGGCCATGCCACCCTGAACACACCCAATCTCGTCTGATCTTGAAGGCTAAGCAGGGTCGGGCCTGGTTAGTACTTGGATGGGAGACTACCTAGGAATACCAGGTGCTGTAGGCCTTAAAAGAAAAAATACTTGCTAAAAAATGCTTACCATCATCTGAGCCTCTAGAGAGTTGTAATGTTTTTACTGGTAGAGGGTTTCGCTTTGATGTTGATGAAAACACAATATCTGCAAAGCACAATAAAATGAGCTATGCCTGTAAAGACAGGCATCTCCCATAACCCACCTGGGAGCAGGTGCTATCAATAGACTCGGTATTTTGGGCCTACACAGAGGTATGTTGTTTTCTTTTGAATAAGGTACCAACATTTAAAACTTGAGAGATGCCACATAAAAATCTCTCTCTCAATCTTTTAAACTATCATGAGGTCTGGTGGCCTGAGCCTTCTATCCCACATTGACAGTTGTTTAGATTTGAGTAGCAGCCATCGCCTCTAGATGTCATTCTCCATTGCTCACACTGGGCTTCCTTCACCTACTCATTACATGCCAGGCCCCTGTGGGGTCTCAGTTTGCCATCCTGCTATTAGCCATGGGTGGCCATATTCTTAGATTTTTGTTGAAGCATTTCCTATAATTGTTTAAGAATTAAAAATTAGGTTAAAAACAAAATTAGGCCAGAATTGTTTTCCCCACTAAGTCCTATAGCCCAAGCTTTACAGCTTGCTCCCTTGTGATGAACCTGCTGCCCCTCGTCCTTTTTCACCACAACTCTGAGGATTGTATCTGGCAAGCCTAGTCCAGAAGGGCCAGTGCTTGATGGAGAGGGAAGTGGGTGAAGGGGGAGGATGTGTTATAGAAGCAAGTTGTTTCCTCTGGGCGAAGCTGCCTCACTACAAAGTGAGTTTTATAGTTCTGTGACTTAAATAGATGTGCTCCCACCTGGAGTCCAATGGCCATCACTGGAGTATCCAGAAAGCCCATATATTTAGGCAGAATTACAGATAGTTTTCTCACCGTGATTTATCCATTAAAAATATATGAGGCCTAGGCCCTAGGGACACAAAGAGGAGTAAGGCTTAATCCTTCCCTTCAAGGGCTTGTCTAGCAGGAGAGACAAACCAAACCAACACGTTAGATACAATGTGATGGGTTCTACAGGTAACAGGCAGAGACCTTAAAACCTCATAGTAAGAATTCCCAGTGAATACAGGCAAGCCCAGAAGTGCAGTCAGGGCCTAAGGAAGGACAAAGGGACAGGAAAGCACATGCTGCTGGGACTGGGGTGGCTGGGTGGGGGGTTG